GTGCTTCGACTACATAGTTGAGCTCCAAGTGGAGAGAGTAGCAGGAATAGGGTGGGAAAAACCAAACTACAAAAGGGGGAACTACTCAGGTATGAGGAACTTCCTTCAAGACATTCAGTGGGAGAGGGAACTGACAGGAAAACCAGTACAAGAAATGATGGACTATGTGGCAACAAAATGCAAGGAGGCAGAGGAGAGGTTTGTTCCCAAGGGAAACAGAAATAATGGGAAGAACAGAACGAGTCCTTGGTTCACCCAAAGGTGTAGGGAGGCAAAAACTAGGTTTACTAGAGAATGGAAAAGGTACAGAAGAGAGAGAACTCAGGAAAATAAAGAGATTAGCCGAAGAACCAGAAACGAATATGCACAGATAAGAAGGGAGGCTCAGAGACAATATGAAAATGACATAGCATCGAAAGTCAAGACTGACCCGAAGCTGTTGTACAGCCACATCAGGAGGAAAACAACAGTCAAGAACCAGGTAATCAGACTGAGGAAGGGTGATGGGGAATTCACAAGAAACGACCGAGAGGTATGTCAGGAACTCAACACGAGATTTAAAGAAGTATTTACAGTAGAAACCAGTAGGACTCCAGGAAATCAGAACAGGGGGGTACACCAGCAAGTGCTGGATGAGGTACATATAACCAAGGAGGAGGTGAAGAAGCTGCTATGCGAACTTGACACCTCAAAGGCGGTGGGACCAGACAACATCTCTCCGTGGGTCCTTAAAGAGGGAGCAGAGATATTGTGTGTGCCATTAACAAAGATCTTCAACACATCATCTGAAACTGGGCAACTCCCTGAGGTATGGAAGATGGCAAATGTAGTCCCAATTTTTAAAAAGGGAGACAGACATGAGGCACTAAACTACAGACCTGTATCACTAACGTGTATAGTATGCAAGGTCATGGAGAAGATCATCAGGAGGAGAGTGGTGGAGCACCTGGAAAGAAACAAGTGTATAATTGACAACCAGCACGGTTTCAGGGAAGGAAAATCCTGTGTCACAAACCTACTAGAGTTTTATGACAAGGTGACAGAAGTAAGACAAGCGAGAGAGGGGTGGATCGACTGCATTTTTTTGGACTGCAAGAAGGCCTTCGACACAGTTCCTCACAAGAGGTTACTGCAAAAGCTAGAGGATCAGGCACACATAACAGGAAAGACACTGCAATGAATCAGAGAATACCTGACTGGGAGGCAACAACGTGACGAGGTGTCAGAGTGGGCGCCAGTGACAAGCGGGGTTCCACAGGGGTCAGTCCTAGGACCTGTGCTGTTCTTGGTATATGTGAACGACATAACGGAAGGGATAGACTCAGAAGTGTCCTTGTTTGCAGATGATGTGAAGTTAATGAGAAGAATCAAATCGGATGAGGATCAGGCAGGACTACAAAGAGATCTGGACAGGCTACAAGCCTGGTCCAACAACTGGCTCCTTGAGTGTAACCCTACCAAATGCAAAGACATGAAGATTGGGGAAGGGCAAAGAAGACCGCAGACACAATATAGTTTAGATGGCCAAAGACTGCAAACCTCACTCAAGGAAAAAGATCTGGGGGTGAGTATAACACCGAGCATATCTCCTGAGGCACACATCAATCAGATAACTGTTGCAGCATACGGGCGCCTGGCAAACCTACGGATAGCGTTCCGATACCTCAGTAAGGATTCGTTCAAGACTGTATACCATTTACGTTAGGCCCATACTGGAGTAAGCAGCACCAGTTTGGAATCCAAACCTAGTCAAGCACGTCAAGAAATTAGAGAAAGTGCAAAGGTTTGCAACAAGACTAGTCCCAGAGCTACGGGGATTGTCCTACGAAGAAAGGTTGAGGGAAATCGGCATGACGACACTGGAGGACAGGAGGGTCAGGGGAGACATGATAACGACATATAAAATACTGCACGGAATAGACAAGGTGGACAAAGACGGGATGTTCCAGAGAAGGGACACAGACACAAGAGGTCACAATTGGAAAGTGAAGACTCAGATGAATCAAAGGGATGTTAGGAAGTATTTCTTCAGTCATAGAGTAGTCAGGCCATGGAATAGCCTAGAAAGTGACGTAGTGGAGGCGGGAACCATACATAGTTTCAAGGCGAGGTATGATAAAGCTCATGGAGCAGGGAGAGAGAGGACCTAGTAGCAATCAGCGAAGAGGCGGGGCCAGGAGCTATGACTCGACCCCTGCAACCAAAAATAGGTAAGTACAAATAGGTGAGTACACACACACACACACACACACTAAATAGGCAGAACTCCCTTATAACTGGACTCTTCCAAACTTTTTGTTTACAAATTAATAGACATTTTTTATTGACAATGGCGTGAATTTTTTTCTATTTTTTTTTTTTGACCAAACCTAACTTAGAAACCTCACCTAACTTAACCTATGTTAATGAAATTTTCTTTTAGCCAAATTCTACTAAATATATCATATATAAGTTTATATTTATTTAACATTACTTAAAATAAATGATATATATATTTTTCGTTATGTTCAGATTGATTTTTGCAGAGTTATGGAGTAAAAAATTGTTTACTCTGCTCTGACCTCAGCAATACAACTGTCCTCAAATATTTGTTGTTATACCATGAATTAAAGAAAAATCCTGGACTTCATCTTACAAGACAAACAAAACAAAAGCGATAGTAATTATGGACAAGGTAGATTATAGTGGAAAAATGAACATGATATTAGTAGACGGGGGAAGTGACGTGCCTCTTAATTTGAATGAAGACGTCGGCTAACAGTTAGCCGGGTTCTGTTTACATAACTTCTTGTTGCACTCCCTTTAGGTGGTTCAAAGAATAATAATAATCATAATCAAAATTTGTAAAGGGGTTGACCGGTAAGCCAGTGGAAGGCCTCGGTCAGATGACCAAAAGCTCCAGCTGCGGGTCATCATATGACTAAAACCCGCTTCAGGAAACACTTGTCCTGTTTCCTGACCAATCTTACCTAACCTAACCTAGTTGGTTTAATCACATATTGCTGCAAAAAAAGGCGGTCCATAACTATATCTCTAAAACAGTCAAAAGTCCCTTAGATTCTAGTTACTCTAGTTAATGTGATTCAAGTTAGAGAAGTACATACATTGTAGAGCAAGCATACAACAGTACATATTGGACAGTCTGTACCACGAGAGACAGATTATTGATATGTGATATTACAGAGATAGAAAAGTACATACACAAAGGAATAGTCAGGTGACACTCAGATCAGAACACCCCTCAGGTGAGAACAGTCAGATCAGAACACCCCTCAGGTGAGAACAGTCATATCAGAACACCCCTCAGGTGAGAACAGTCAGATCAGAACACCCCTCAGGTGAGAACAGTCAGATCAGAACACCCCTCAGGTGAGAACAGTCAGATCAGAACACCCCTCAGGTGAGAACAGTCAGATCAGAACACCCCTCAGGTGAGAACAGTCAGATCAGAACATCCCTCATGTGAGAACAGTCAAGTCAGAACATCGCTCAGGTGAGAACAGTCAGGTCAGAACATCCCTCATGTGAGAACAGTCAGATCAGAACATCCCTCAAGTGAGAACAGTCAGGTCAGAACATCCCTCAGGTGAGAACAGTTAGATCAGAACATCCCTCAGGTGAGAACAGTCAGGTCAGAACATCCCTCATGTGAGAACAGTCAAGTTAGAACATCCCTCATGTGAGAACAGTCAAGTCAGAACATTCCTCAGGTGAGAACAGTCAGGTCAGAGCATCCCTCATGTGAGAACAGTCAAGTCAGAACATCCCTCAGGTGAGAACAGTCAGGTCAGAACATCCCTCATGTGAGAACAGTCAAGTCAGAACATCCCTCAGGTGAGAACAGTCAGGTCAGCATCCCTCATGTGAGAACAGTCAAGTCAGAACATCCCTCAGGTGAGAATAGTCAGGTAAGAACATCCCTCATGTGAGAACAGTCAAGTCAGAACATCCCTCAGGTGAGAACAGTCAGGTCAGAACATCCCTCATGTGAGAACAGTGAAGTCAGAACATCCCTCAGGTGAGAACAGTCAGGTCAGAACATCCCTCATGTGAGAACAGTCAAATCAGAACATCCCTCAGATGAGAACAGTCAGGTCAGAACATCCCTCATGTGAGAACAGTCAGGTCAGAGCATCCCTCAGATGAGAACAGTCAGGTCAGAGCATCCTTCAGGTGAGAAGTCAGGTCAGAACACCCCTCAGGTGAGTACAGTCAGGTCAGAACACCCCTCAGGTGAGAACAGTCAGGTCAGAACACCCCTCAGGTGAGAACAGTCAGATCAGAACACCCCTCAGGTGAGAACAGCCAGGTCAGAACACCCCTCAGATGAGAACAGTCAGGTCAGAACATCCCTCAGGTGAGAACAGTTAGGTCAGAACACCCCTATGGCAAGAACAGTCGGATCAGAACACCCCATAGGTGAAAACAGTCAGGTCAGAAAACTTCTCAGGTGAGAACAGTCAGGTCAGAACATCCCTCAGGTGAGAACAGCCAGGTTAGAACATCCCTCACGTGAGAACAGTCAGGTCAGAACACCCCTCAGGCGAGAACAGTCAAGTCAGAATACACCTCGGGTGAGAACAGTCAGGTTAGAATATCCCTCAGGTGAGAACAGTCAGGTCAGAACACCCCTCAGGCGAGAACAGTCAGGTCAGAACACCCCTCAGAAGAGAACAGTCAAGTCAGAATACGCCTCAGGTGAGAACAGACAGGTTAGAATACACCTCAGGTGAGAATAGTCAGATCACAACACCCCTTAGGTGAGAACAGTCAGGTCAGAACACCCCTCAGGCGAGAACAGTCAGCTCGGAACACCCCTCAGATGAGAACAGTCAAGTCAGAATACGCCTCAGGTGAGAACAGACAGGTTAGAACACCCCTCAGGTGAGAACAGTCAGGTCAGAACACTCGAGTGTGAAAACTCATTATGTGAGAACACTCAGGTGAGAACGTTTATTAGGTTAGAAAATTCAGGTAAGAACACTGTTCATCGTGGTTACCTCTCTATAGTAGAAAGATCCTTGTCGAGTGGTACAATGCCAGTCAGTTTCATCCACACTCGCTTCCAGCTGGTACACGCCACCTGTGTGAAAACACGACAGGTAAGAGCCAGCTGGAGGAATGTGTGTAGAAAAGAATGCGGAGGAATACTGGTGTGTGTGTGTTTGTGTGTGTGTGTGTGTGTACTCACCTAGTTACTCACCTAGTTGAGGTTGTAGGGGTCGCGTCCAAGCTCCTGGCCCCGCCTCTTCACTGGTCGCTACTAGGTCACTCTCCCTGAACCATGAGCTTTATCGTACCTCTGCTTAAAGCTATGTATGGATCCTGCCTCCACTACATCGCTTCCCAAACTATTCCACTTACTGACTACTCTGTGGCTGAAGAAATACTTCCTAACATCCCTTTGATTCATCTGTGTCTTTAGCTTCCAACTGTGTCCCCGTGTTGCTGTGTCCAGTCTCTGGAACATCCTGTCTTAGTCCACCTTGTCAATTCCTCTCAGTATTTTGTATGTCGTTATCATGTCCCCCCTATCTCTCCTGTCCTCCAGTGTCGTCAGGTTGATTTCCCTTAACCTCTCCTCATAGGACATACCTCTTAACTCTGGGACTAGTCTTGTTGCAAACCTTTGCACTTTCTCTAGTTTCTTTACGTGCTTGGCTAGGTGTGGGTTCCAAACTGGTGCCGCATACTCCAATATGGGCCTAACGTACACCGTGTACAGGGTCCTGAACGATTCCTTATTAAGATGTCGGAATGCTGTTCTGAGGTTTCCCAGGCGCCCATATGCTGCAGCAGTTATTTGGTTGATGTGCGCTTCAGGAGATGTGCCTGGTGTTATACTCACCCCAAGATCTTTTTCCTTGAGTGAGGTTTGTAGTCTCTGGCCCCCTAGACTGTACTCTGTCTGCGGTCTTCTTTGCCCTTCCCCAATCCTCATGACTTTGCACTTGGTGGGATTGAACTCCAGCAGCCAGTTGCTGGACCAGGTCTGCAGCCTGTCCAGATCCCTATGTATTTCCGCCTGGTCTTCGATCGAATGAACTCTTCTCATCAACTTCACGTCATCTGCAAACAGGGACACCTCGGAGTTTATTCCTTCCGTCATGTCGTTCACAAATACCAGAAACAGCACTGGTCCTAGGACTGACCCCTGTGGGACGCCGCTGGTCACAGGTGCCCACTCTGACACCTCGCCACGTACCATTACTCGCTGCTGTCTTCCTGACAAGTATTCCCTGATCCATTGCAGTGCCTTCCCTGTTATCCCTGCTTGGTCCTCCAGTTTTTGCACTAATCTCTTGTGTGGTACTGTGTCAAACGCCTTCTTGCAGTCCAAGAAAATGCAATCTACCCATCCCTCTCTCTCTTGTCTTACTGCTGTCACCATGTCATAGAACTCCAGTAGGTTTGTGACACAGATTTCCCGTCTCTGAAACCATGTTGGCTGCTGGTGATGAGATCATTCCTTTCTAGATGTTCCACCATTCTTCTCCTGACAATCTTTTCCATGATTTTGCATGCTATACATGTCAGTAACACTGGTCTGTAGTTTAGTGCTTCATGTCTGTTTCCTTTTTTAAAGATTGGGACTACATTTGCTGTCTTCCATGCCTCAGGGAATCTCCCTGTTTCGTTAGATGTATTGAATATTGTTGTTAGGGGTACAAATAGCACCTCTGCTCCCTCTCTCAGGACCCATGGAGAGATGTTATCTGGCCCCATTGCCTTTGAGGTATCTAGCTCACTCAGAAGCCTCTTCACTTCTTCCTCGGTTGTGTGTACTGTGTCCAGCACATGGTGGTGTACCCCACCTCTCCGTCTTTCTGGAGCCCCTTCTGTCTCCTCTGTGAACACTTCTTTGAATCTCTTGTTGAGTTCCTCACATACTTCACGGTCATTTCTTGTTGTCTCTCCTCCTTCCTTCCTTAGCCTGATTACCTGGTCCTTGACGGTTGTTTTCTTCCTGATGTGGCTGTATAAACAGCTTCGGTCAGATTTGGCTTTTGCTGCTATGGCGTTTTCATATTGACGTTGGGCCTCCTTCTTATCTGTGCATATTCGTTTCTGGCTCTACGACTGCTCTCCTTATTCTCCTGGGTCCTTTGCCTTCTGTATTTCTCCATTCCCTAGCACACTTGGTTTTTGCCTCCTTGCATCTTTGGGTGAACCATGGGCTCATCCTGGCTTTTTTCATTATTCCTGTTACCCTTCGGTACAAACCTCTCCTCAGCCTCCTTGCACATTGTTGCTACATATTCCATCATCTCATTAACTGGCTTCCCTGCCAGTTCTCTGTCCCACTGAACCTCATTCAGGAAGTTCCTCATTCCTGTGTAGTCCCCTTTCCTGTAGTTGGTTTCATTGTCCTGGCCTTCCTGCTTCCCCCTCCACTTGTAGCTCTACTGTGTATTCGAAGCTCAAAACCACATGATCGCTGCCCAAGGGTCTTTCATATGTGATGTTCTCAATATCTGCACTACTCAAGGTGAATACTAAGTCAAGTCTTGCTGGTTCATCCTCTCCTCTCTCTCTTGTAGTGTCCCTTACGTGTTGGTACATGAAGTTTTCCAGTACCACCTCCATCATCTTAGCCCTCCATGTATCTTGGCCCCCATGTGGCTCCAAGTTCTCCCATTCGATCTCCTTGTGTTTAAAGTCGCCCATGATCAGGAGCTTTGCCCTGCATGCATGAGCTCTTCTGGCCACTGTAGCCAGTGTGTCAACCATCGCTCTATTGCTCTCGTCATACTCTTGCCTTGGCCTCCTGCTGTTCTGTGGTGGGTTATACATCACTGCAATTATCACCTTGGGACCTCCAGAGTGAAGCGTTCCCACTATGTAATCACTTTCTTCTCCACTGTCTCCTCTCTCCAGCTCATCAAAATTCCATCGGTGTTTGATCAGCAATGCCACTCCTCCACCCCCCCTGTTCCTTCTGTCTTTTCTCAGGATCTGGTATCCCACTGGAAAGATGGCATCTGTTATCATACCTGTAAGCTTGGTTTCTGTGAGAGCTATGATGTCTGGTGATGCCTCTTTGACTCTTTCGTGCCACTTTTCCCCCCACTTGTTT